TGAGGCTGGAGAATGGTGTGAACCCGGGAGGCGGAGCTTGCAGTGAGCCGAGATTGCACCACTGCACTCCATCCTAGAAAAGTATGTTCATTTTAACCCTGTGATGTACACTGCCATGTTGACTTATGAGAACCCCTTTTCTGTGAAAATGTCTCAGGGGCCTCACAGGATAATTTATTTGTTTTCAGTAGCCATTAGTTGAAAAATGCATAATAAAAAGCTACCATAATTCAGTTTTGATTATAAACTAAGTTGCACTAAACACAAAAGAATCAGCACACACTTTAAATAAAAACCCTTTGTGTTCAGAATGTATTATTTGGCCAATCCACCTGCAATCCTTGGGGTGCTTAGGGCCTGGCTGGCTCTTTGCAGGTGTGATTGATTTCCCAAATCAGGAACTGTTGCCTCTTGATTGTATTCTGTGGACCCAGGTCCCCAAACCAGCAGGTCTGGGGCATAATTTTTTTGTCTTTTTCTCAGATGAAGAGTTATCTTAAGGATCATCTTTCTCTAAGATAAGCATCCCTTCTTGGAGTTCCTGTCTTCCAAGATGTGACTGTCTGGAGTTCCTTGACTAAGAAGATGGATGAAAATGGCGAGCCTGTGGATAGGGACTACAGGGGATATGGGAGGCAGGGAAGAGGGGTTGTTTCTTTTAATAAATCATCACTGTTAAAAGCACTCATACTATTTGAGTTATTTGGTTAAAGGTGAGGAGGAGGGGGGAGAAGGACAGATGACATTTGTTGCGTACTGACTATCAACAAGGACCATGTTAAATTCTCCCTAGACATTATCTAAGTATCCTTAACAATCTTTTGACTGCACTTCTTTTTTTTTTTTTTTTGAGACAGAGTCTGGCTCTGCCGCCCAGGCTGGGGTGCAGTGGCCAGATCTCAGCTCACTGCAAGCTCCGCCTCCTGGGTTTACGCCATTCTCCTGCCTCAGCCTCCCGAGTAGCTGGAACTACAGGCGCCCGCCACCTTGCCCGGCTAGTTTTTTGTGTTTTTTAGCAGAAACGGGGTTTCACCGTGTTAGCCAGGATGGTCTCGATCTCCTGATCTTGTGATCCACCCATCTCGGCCTCCCAAAGTGCTGGGATTACAGGACTGCACTTCTTATCATCACCATTTGAGGACACTCAGGTTTGGGGCAAAGTCATATAGCAAGTAAGTGTCAGGGCCTAAACTATAATCTCATGTCGAATGCCACATAAGGCCTATGCATTATAGTATGGTAGTCAGGAGCCCTGACTCTGAATTTCAAACCCAGGCCCACCACACAGCCATGTTGCCTTCAGTGAGAATCTTCGTCTTTCTGTGATTCAGTTTCTTATATATATAATAGTACCTCATAAAACTACAAAGATAAAAGAGGGTCATGTATAATACTGACACATAGAAAGCATTCAGTAAGTGTTAACTACAATGATTATTAACACAGTAGTACCCCTAATCCATGGGGGATATGTTCCAAGACCCCCAGTGAATGCACAAAACCATGGATAGTATCAAACTCTACATATACTGCCATGGATAGCATCGAACTCTATATACATGTGTTCTGTCCTATACATACATACTTATGATAGAGTATAATTTATAAATTAGGCATAGTAAGAGATTAACAATAACTAATAATAAAATAGAACAAATAAAACAATATGCCAACATCACTACTCTTATGTTTTGAAACCATTATTAAGCAAAATAAAGGTTACTTGAACACAAGCACTGGGACAGTGGATCTCATAATTGAGATGGTTATTAAGTGACTAACGGGTGGGTAGCATATAAGGCATGGGTATGCTTGACTAAGGGATGATTCACATTCCAGAATGAAGTGGGACGGTGCAAGATTTCATCGCACTACTCAGAACAGCAGCAAGTTGAAATGTATGAATTATTTCTGGAATTTTCCATTTCGTATTTTTTTTTTTTTTTGGATGGAGTTTTGCTTTGGTCACCCAGGCTGGAGTGCAATGGTGCGATCTCGGCTCACTGCAATCTCTGCCTCCCAGGTTCAAGTGATTCTCCTGCCTCAGCCTCCCAAGTAGCTGAGATTATAGGTGTGTGCCACCATGTCCGGCTAATTTTTGTATTTTTAGTAGAGATGGGGTTTCAACATGTTGGTCAGACTGGTGTTGAGCTCCTGACCTCCAATGATTAGCCGGTCTCGGACTCCCAAAGTGCTGGGATTATAGGTATGAGCTACTGCGCCCAGTGCATTTCATATTTTCATACTGTGATTGACCACGGTAATTGAAAAGGCTGAAAGCAAAACTACCGATAAGGGGGGGACTACTATGTAATCAAATAGATAGTCTGATGACCCTGAAACAGAACTCAAGGCCAATCCTCCTTCCTAGCCTCTCCTGGTTCAATGTGTAATCTGGATACTGAAATCAAGCTCCTCTCTTCTGGTTTTCCCCATTACAAAATGTGGGAGGTAAAAATCAATGTGTTTATAATTTCTTGTCTATGTTCTTCACAATCACAGCCAGCCTGGGCTGCAATCTGATTTCAACCAATTTGCTGCCTGTGCAGCTTTGACCAACCGTTTATACTCTTTGGCACCATTTTCTCAACTGTAAAAGGGAGAAATAATATCTACCTCATTTGATGCTAAGACTTATAAAACTTTATAGTTTACAAAGCATTTTCACAAAAATCCCACTTGATTTGCACATCAACCAATGGCAAACAGGGGACCCTGAATAAAAAGTTAGTGAGTTCATTCACATTCCAGGGGCTGTGCTAGCCCTGGGCTACAACAGCGAATGAGACAAACAGGATCTGTGCCTTCAAGGAGTTAACATTCTAGAGGAAGCAACAGATGATAAAGTAAGCAAATAAACAAGATAACTGCAGGTTATGATAAATTTTCTGAAGGAAATAATTAAAGATGTGAATTATAGTGAAATGGGGGTATGCAAGCCTATGTGAGTTAGGATGACCCAGACTCTCATGAAGGGATAAAAATGAAGTCTTGAGAGGTTTCCAAACACGAAAGGAGTGAAATTCCACTGAGGTTCCAGATTATCCGATGACAATGTGCTTAGCACCGCTTAAAGCCCCTCAGTCACTATAGGACTATGAAAATGTGGAGAATTGAGGAGGAGACAGGAGATTTTCTTGGAAGAAGGCTTTTGCCATGGTGTGTTTCCACAGTTTCAGTGTTGGAGATGGGAGCAGGAGTGCTATTGTATAAACTCAAGCCAATGCAGGGTGCCTTCCAAGACCTTCCTCAGAGCTTGAGATATGTTTCCTTTAGTTGGTAATCATTGCAGAGTAGGGATATCCATTTCCTTAAAGGAACCACACTAATTCACAAGGGTATTTTCTACCAGAACTCAACAGACCGGTATCAGTATACTGTATTTTACAATTCCTGGACCATTCCAACCTGAATAACACAATACATAGGTCATCCATATTGCAACTTAAGGTCAACCACACCAAACCCAGATCCTTCCCACAGTCTTTTTGAACCACCTGCATTGTGAAAATGACCACTCACATCCTTCTAGCCCAATGTGTAAGACAGCTCTTTAGTACTACTTCACATATTCTTGGTCTTACATTCTTATTCTAGCCTTTGGTACAGCAAGTAGTTTATCACAGGCATCTACTAGCTTAGCATAGGTCTAACTGGTGAGAGCCTTGCCTCAGATATGCACCCTAGTTTCCTCACTGTTGCCTCAGGGCTTCTTTGACTATGCAACATAGGACTCCTGCAGGAACCAAGCACAGATACATGCTCAACACAGGAACACCAGTGAATTAATGCCTTGTGGGCAACTTTTGACAATAGAGTCCAAAAGCTGACAGATAAATGCTTCCCCTCTCTGTTCCTTCAGAAGAAGGGTTTTGAGAGCTTCACAAGGCTTCTCAGAAACTCCTGAGGACTGAACAATCAGTCACCCCTTGCAACGGCCATTTCAATAGCACATATTGGTATTAATTCTCCTTCCTTCCTTGTATATTCCTGGATAAACCACTCACCCATCAACGTCGTCTGAGGCTCTGATTTCAGGGAACCCAGATTAAAATATCCAACGACTAGGTTTCAGCTCCTGATCTTCTCTGAACAAATGCTTGAATACATTTCTTTAAACGAATACACACACATACATGCACATATACCATGCACATACGGACACAGACCAGGAATAAGAAATAATATACCAGCACAATGGAATCTAAATCCAAACAAAAAAAGTAACATCTCTCTCCAAGCCCAAAGTCTTCAGAAAACTACCTCTGCTAAAGCATACCCCCAGTTTTCATTCCTGAACAGAAATGTTTTATTCTCAGGATAAAATATACATTCAGGTGACTTCAAGGCTTTCCCTAAGGGCCAAGGGTGAGGTTTTGCTTTATATTTGCATAACTCAAAGGCCCTAGAGACGGTTTTCCCAATCTGCCCAACTGTGAAAGCCAAGCCTCCACTTCCTGGATGACTGAAAACTGATCACAGATTTTTAAATGGCCATTGTATTCTCCAGCTTCTTGACTTCAAAAAATCTTGGGGTGTCTCAACTCAACCCGGTCACCCTTGGGCAGATTATGTTTTACATGATTCAGTTGAACTCCAAAATTACTCTTCTAGTGAGGCGAGGTGCCTCATGATGTATGACAGGATTCACACTGGGAAAAGGGGAGAAAAAGGAACCAAGAGTGCATCCAGCTGTCACTTAAGTAGGGAAAGCTGCCCTATATTCCACTGGCCAGATTGTAATCACATAGCCACAGCCAACTGCAAGGAATGCTGGGGAATGTAGCCTTTATTCCGGGTGGTTTTGTGCCTGGGGCAAGATTTTAGAAGAGTAGAAGGGTGTCTTACAACTAGCAGTTTCTGCTACTGCCATCCACAGCATAACCTCTCCAACTCCAGCCCGAATCTGAAACTCTAGTACTTAATAGAGTACCTTCAGCCCTGTCCAGGAACAAATTCTGGGAGGGCAAACTTTCTGGAAGCACAAATTGAGAACTCACTTTTCAGTCAGGGCTCAAGAAGGAGCGGCCAGCGAAAAATCTCCAAGTCAGTTCTTTCTGTAGCCAATTTCCTCTCTCTTCTCTCCTCTCTCTCTCTTTTTTGAGACGGAGTCTCGCTCTGTCGCCCAGGCTGGAGTGCAGTGGCGCGATATTGGCTCACTGCAAGCTCCGCCTCCCTCAGCCTCCCGAGCAGATGGGACTACAGGCGCCCGCCACCACGCCTGGCTAATTTTTTTTTTTTTTGTATTTTTAGTACAGACGAGGTTTCAACGTGTTAGCCAGGACGGTCTCCATCTCCTGACCTCGTGATCCGCCCGCCTCGGCCTCCCAAAGTGCTGGGATTACAGGCGTGAGCCACCGCGCCCGGCCTCCAAGCCAATTTCTGACAAGCATTTGTAGGGTACTAGTCAGAGGCGTCCCGCAGTCACGGAAACCCCTCTGAGTCCCAGTCCTGTCCAAAAAAAGTACTTCCGGAAATAGCGCGCAGAGCGGGAGGATGCCCCGGAAGTATTTCCCTGGGACCTCCCCCCTCCCGGACACATAGAAAAGATGGCTGCTGTGCAAGTTGCGGGCTCCTTGCCTTCCGAGCAGCCGCGGGAGGCACCGCAGGAAGCAATCCCTGAGCGAGGCAATGCGTTTCGCCGCTTGTCTGCCAGGCTCTGCGCCCTTCGCCCGGATGGCAGCAGCTCCGCCCGCACCGAAATCCACCTGCTCTTCGATCAGCTCATCTCCGAGAACTACAGCGAGGGCAGTGGCGTGGCTCCGGAGGTAGGCGGCGCGCCCGGGAGAGAGCTGGTGCGGCGCCTGCTGGCCCCAGCCCCACCCCTCCGGGAACCCAGCTGGTGGCCTCCGGCTGCCTTTCCCTGCTGTTCCTACTCTCGCGCCTGATGATTTAGTTTCAGGCTGGCGTGCCCCCTCCTACCTTGGCACATTCTTAGTTCTCCATTTGGAAGACCCTGCAGTGCTTGGCACGCTCGACTCATTCAAAACCCAACTTGACGACTCCTTCTCTGATAATGCCTCGGGTTTCCTCTCTGATACCACCTTTCCATCTGTCCGCACCCTCCTTCACTCCCTCTCTATGCACCCAGAACACTTTGTTGACAAAATGCCTTAGTACTGTTTATTGCGTACATGGTACACGGACCACGTGGGAATCTTACAACTTGAGTAGTATTAGGTCGTTTTTTGCTGATGAAAATACTGAAGCTCATAAAAATACAGTATACAAAACTCTGCCACAAAGCCCCTACGTTTTATGTTCCTAGACACTGACTCCTCCCCTCTGCCGTCTTTTTGAGTAATCTTACACACATAAGGCCTTAAATTAATGAATTCTCTGAACTGTTGACACCATGGCCTTCTGGCCCTACGTAGGAAAGAGGAAAGTGGTGCAAGTTGCCTGCTTGCACAGACATTTCAAACTAGACAGTTCCTAAAGATGAAATTCATTAGCTCCAAACTCATATTCCCGTCCCCAACCCATCCCACCTTCCAACACACATGCACCATCCACCAAGTCACACAAGACACAAACACTATTTCTTCCCTCCTTCATCCCAGATCCTGTCCAATTCAGATATTTCAGAATGTGTCTCATATATATTTCTCAGTTCATCCCCTCCTGTCTGTTCCCATAGCGAGTGCCTTAGACCTCAGGCAAGGCGTCTTATGCCTGGACTGTTCCACTGGTCTCTTCTAACTGATCTCCTGCCTCCTGTCTAGCTCCTCTCCAAGCCAGTCATTCCTCTGATGCCAGAATGATCTTTTCTTTAGGAGGAAAAAAATTTAATCATAAAATTTAAAATCTGCTTTGGAAAAGTCTTCAATACGTATCGGTAAATGGTTGAAGCAAGTTGCAGAACAATTCATACAGAATGAGATCTGTATGAAGCTGGAGGAGGGATTTTAAAATATGTGTGTTTATGTATGCAAAGTAAAAGGTCTGAAAGAATTGACAACAGAATAATAGTGTATGTCATTAGGAAGCAGAGTGAGATTAAGGCAGTAGTCGGGGACTTTTGCTGTATTTGTATAATTTGATACTTTTGCAACAAAACGTCATACCTTTCCATTCTCTCCTGTTACTCCTTTTGTTCCTGTGTGCAGTCATTTAAAACTTGCTGTTCTTCAGGCACCTACTGGTGTTTCACACCTCCAGGTTTTTGCATACTCTGACCACTTTGCTTGCAGTGTTTTTTGATGCCCTATCTGGCAAATTTCTCCTCATCCTTCAAATCATTCCAGGTTCTGCTTTACAGTCACCTCCACAAGGCCTCCCTAATTACTGTTTCTGGACAGAGTTTGTACTTTATTCTTTCAGCACTTTATTCACCTTATTTTAATTATTTGTTGTGTTTCTTTCTGTCACTAGTTTATGAGCTCTTTGAGGTTCGGGAACATGTTTGTTTTTACCTTTGGAGCCCAAGGACCTAGCACACTATGGCACATTGTGGGTGCTCGGAACCTTGTCATTCTGTAAACATCGATGGATGAATGAAAAGTGTGACTTGCAAATAGGTCCCTCTTCTTTTTTTTTTGCGAATTCCTCAATTATGCATAAAATCCATAGAAGTGTTAGGTCTGATTTTTCCCAATGACATTGAAAATCTGGTTCACTTACCTTTTGGTATTTTTAACTTGCAGTTTGTGCTTTTACGCCCTAGAAGCCTTTCTTTGGTTGTTTAATTATATTGTCTCTACATATATAGAGAGTAGAGTCTTCAGCCTGACCAAAACCATGTTGATTCTTTTCCTTTTTTTTTTTCTTTTTTCTTTTAAGAGACAAGGTCTCACTCTGTCATCCAGACTAGAGCGCAGCAGCAAGATCATAGCTCACTGTGATCTTGAACTCCTGGGCTCAAGCTGTCCTCCCACCTCAGCCTCCCAAGAAGCTAGGACTACACACCACCATTTCCAGATAATTTTTTTTTTAAAGTTTTTTCTGTAGAGATGGAGTCTCACTATGTTGCCCAAGCTGGTCTTGGACTCCTGGGCTCAAGCAGTCCTCCCGCTTTGACCTACCAAAGACCTGGGATTAGGTGTGAGCCACTGTGCCTGACTTTTTCCTTCTTTTTTAGCACATCCTATTTTTGTGCTGTCACTTCATTTTTTTCCTTCCTGCCTCACATTTTCTTTCCCCATTTGAATGTCAATATTTACTTTTGTTTTCCCATTTGGCTGTGTTTTGAGGATCTTCACTTGACTAATAAGTATTTTACTTCTTCTTTGTTTTCTTTTTTTTGGTAGGACGTTAGTGCTCTTCTTGTCCAGGCTTGCCGACTGGTACCTCTTAACCAGAATCATCTTGTCAGCAAAGTGTCCCAGCTTATCCACCATTTACTTAACAGATTACAGGTAATCATGTGTGTAACTCTAGAATTCAGATCATGAACTTTTGAGACTATGCAGATACCTTTGAAATACTACATCTGTAGTAGGTATGATAGATTGTTTTTTGAGATGCTATAGGAAAAGCAAATGCCTTAATAAGAATACTTTTAAAGGAAATATAACTGATCCAAAAAAAAAAAAAAAATTATTCTGTAGAATTCTAGTAGTTTGTCTATTAAAAGTATGCCTTTCTGTTTGGTTCAGTTAACCAGTATAATTCAGGCCCCCCAACCTTATAATTTCTTTCTTTTTTTTTTTTTTTTGAAACAGAGTCTCACACTGTTGCCCAGGCTGGAGTGCAGTGGCGCTATCTTGGCTCACTGCAAGCTCCACCTCCTGGGTTTACGCCATTCTCCTGCCTCAGCCTCCTAAGTAGCTGGGACTACAGGCGCCCACCACCACACCTGGCTAATTTATAATTTCTTATGGAAGATATATTTGAACAAAATATATCTAAGAATAAATTGAAATAACCCCCTACCTCTTTCCCACCAATATTTTTCCCCTTTCCTGAAGCTACCATTTTTTGTGGTCTACTTTTGATGCTTCTAAAATATAAGAAGTAGCTTGGGACCAAGGGGACAGAAGGATAAAAAGAGCCCAGTTATTTATTTAAGACTGTTACCACATGAGTATGTGCATATATTTAAGAGCACAAAATATATCAACTAGCATTATGTGAATTAGGATGCTTTTGGCTGCAAGAAGCAGAAAAGCCATCCCAGAGTCACTACACAACTTTTTAAAAAATAAAAAGGAATCACTCCATGTCCTAAGTCCCAAGGGAGGCATCTGTAGCCCCTTAATAATAAGAGGCTCATCTTTCTCTTCACCATCCTCAGCATGTGGGTTACCCTCAGCTAGCATCTCTCACAGTGCTATGCCAATTCTGGACATCCCCTGCCAAAGAAATGATTAATGTTCAGCAGAAGCTAAATAACTGTATTTTATATTGTGTTTCTTGTACTTAAGAGTAAGGAAATGTGTCCCATAAACTCTCTACTAGACTCCCTAGTATCTTGCTGGAGAGACTAATAGCTCCAGCCAGTAGTTTCAGCCTTCACTACACATTAGAATCACTTGGAGGAGGGCTTAAGCTCCCTCGATGCTTACAATGTGCAGCAACAATTAGCCTACATCAGGGTTTCTCAGCCTCAGCACTACTGATATTTTGGCCCAGATCATTGTTTTAGGGGCTGTCTTGCACATTGTGGAATGTTTAGCAGCATCCTTGCCCTCTGCCCACTAGACGCCAGTAGCAGCTCTCCAGTTGTGGCAGTCAAAAATGTATATAGGCATTGCCAAATGTTTCTTGGGGGTTAAGGTTGCCCCAGGTTGCCCCACTCTCTTAAACTAATTAGCGTTTACCCTTAAGTCTCATGTGGGAGAGGTGGACTTCCAAATTAAATTAGTACTCTGCCAGCAGGGAAGGAAGAAATGGATGCTGGTAGGTAACCAACCAACTCTGCTGCATGGAGTAAGGCTGTTTTCAGTTTAGAATCGTTGAAACTAACATGGGGTAGCTCCTGTATGTTTCCTATTCTCAGGTGTATCGTCTTTGTAACACTGGCAATTGGAGCTGTTCCTGAACACCTGTGGCACCTATCACCCTTTACCAGCTTTCCAGCATTTGGTGACAGTCTCAACTGTCCGTGAATTGACACTTGGATTAGTCTGGTCTGTCCCAACAAGATGATCAGCCCTGTGACAGCAGGGATATGCCTTGTCTTCAGGGGGTATTCCCTAGGTCATGTTAGAGATACAGTAGGTGTTTAGCAGTTATATTGGTTCACTGT